CTCCTCCCCTCTACTATAGAATTCACCTTTGTGGTTTTTAAAATTAACTTTATGAGCAATTGGTTCTTTAATTTAGAATTCATAGGTTTAGAGTATTCTATTTTTCAATATTATATAAACATTTAGAAACAATATAACTGGTCCCATGCTCTTTCTTTCTTGAATGTAATACTTAATTTTCTGGTATTATTAGGAACTGAATGAGTTTGGATTTGATATAATTACTGATTATTGATCAAAACAAAATAAATTGAATTTACTGAACTTGTTGATATCCACATCGGGATTCAAACCAAGAAATCTTAATAATGTGATGCTCAGGTTTCCTCACAGAGCAATGATATTGTAATATATGGGAATCTTTCTGACGATCAAAGCATCTCCTGAAAATATTAGTTTGTGAACATTGATTTGAAAGAACCCCTTGGGGATTTGAAATTTCTATTTCTATTTGAAACAGAAAAGATAATTTAGATAATACAAAATTCAAGAAGTGTGGAAAGGTTGCTGTTGCAAAATTATGTGTGGAACTCATTGTCTCCTTTGAGTCATTCTAATTTTTCTGCTCCCCCCCTCCAAACAATGTGGTACACTAAATGAGTATATGCAAAACTATCAAAAAATAACTTTTTTTCTTTGAAAGAATTGGATGTGAGGCTAAGCAGTGTTTGTAGTGAATAAATCCAATAGATTTTCTCAAGGCTTTTTCAAAAGAAACATGCATTTGTTGTTTGGCATATGTAGAATGTCAGGGAATTACAATTCAGGTTTGCTTTAATTATCTGCCAATAATTTCCAAGTGTAAAAACTTGAAAGAGAAAAAAAATCTTCTTTTGTATAAAAACTGTTGTGATTCAGGCTATTCAGGTCCTTCGTGCAGTTGTGCACTGAACAGTGATTACTCTCTGAAATTGTTGTGTGATTCTGTCTCTCAAGACTGTACCGAAATGACATAAATTGAATGGAATAAAGACAATTCAGAAAAAGTAAATTTTGTACGTTTTGTACGTTTCTGTACATTTTTTACAAGGCTGATTTTAAAAAAAGATATAAAAAGCAACAATTGAAAATTACTAATGGAATCTCGAGCAACAATGGTCTTAAATGCTTTGCGGATTCTGTATATTGTTGTATACCATTGTAACCCTACAGATTGCATCCTAAACTAGAAACAATTTATTAGAATATGTGATTGTGCTGTCTTGCACACATAGTTTAAATGCAGATTATGAATTTCTCCAGATTTGAGTGAGTATTTGATTGATTATGTAAAATTAGTGGTGTTGACTTTTAGCAATCACATAGATTTATAAAAGTGAAAATGAATCAGGGATTTTATTACCCTAACACATGGAACCACCTTTGAAACATTTTTTCCCTAGAGGATGTTAACTCATTTTGTTCAACCTTGGTCCTTTTTAACCATCATTTCCTTGTGAATGAATCTTAGTTTGTAGCTCTAGTGAAGAAGCAGAAGAAAGCAACTGAGGTATAAAAGAGGAGATTGTTCTGTACTTGAAAAGTATGGTTTCCTATATCATGGTAAAATAAATTTTGCTTCATTTTGTCATGTTGTCTTCTGTGAGTCCAACTACTATCATTTGTAGATTTTTGTTTATAGCTTAGGGCAGTATATGAACCCATCCAATTGTGATTTAATGTGAGGAATAAACTAGGTCAGTATGTCATGTCTGAATCACTGCTGTTTTACAGCTGGTTTTAATTGCTGAATAATTCTAATAACCCCTAAAGCATCTAACAAGATCAACAAGATAGATTGCTGTTAAACCTTTAGGCATATAGAATGAAAATATTGGGAGTTGTAATCCCAATACTTCTGGATAATGAAGCTGGCCTCTCATGAAATATCAAAGAAGTGATGGGAATAAAAATTGGTGAGTATCATGTTCCATTAAGCAAGACCAAGGATGCAGGAATTACAAGTAGTCCTGGGTTTACAAACACAAATGAACCCAACTTTTCTTTCACTAAGCTAGATAGCTGTTAAGTGAATTTTGTGCCATTTTATCAGATTTTTTTGCCCCAGTTGTTAAGTGAATCATTGCAGTTGTTAAGTTAGTAATACAGTTGTTTAGTGCATCTGGCTTCTCCATTGACTTTGCTTATCAGAAGGTCACAAAAGATGATTGTCTGACCCTGAGATTCTGGAACCATTATAAATAAATGCCAATTGCCAATTGTCTGAATTTTTATCATGTAACTATGGGGATAATGCAATTATCAGTGTAAAAAACTGTCATAAATCACATTTTCCAGTGCTGTTGTAACTTTGGGTGGTCATTAAATGAAAACTTCAAATGGTCACTAAATGAATGGTTATAAGTCAAGGTCTACCTGTAGATGATAAATAGTTGACAGAACTTTTGTTAGAGATGCCTATTCTGATAGAACATTTTTGTTACCACATCTTTTGTCTGCTGATCCTGATTTATATCTAAAATTTATCTGTGTATCTATGGATAGTAAAAATTACTATTCCCAACAGACAACATCCAGTTCTTGGATAAAAATAAGATCTATGGTGCAAATCAATTGAATGCTTTGTGGTTGCCGTTCTTTGAAGCTATTCATCAGGTTCATATTGTTCTGAATCAGGGACTGTGTTTGTTTGATACTGTTTGATAGGCAAACAGTGTGGGCTTTTTTGCTGCAAACATTAAGACTGAATGTACATTTTTCTGGGAAGTGCTGGGATTACAAGCCTGAAGACTTTTTGTTCAAAAGTACCTCAGCTGGCTCAAAAAAATATATCCTTATATGCATTTTGAAATTTGACACAGGGATGTCAAATTGACAGCCTGAAGGCCAGATACATCATGTGTAGGTTATGCCCACCCCGGCTCCGTGAAGGGAAAAAACACTGCAATATTTTGTGTGACAGCAATGTGACATGGCGAGTTTGATACCCGTGTTGTACATAGTTGAACTTCATTTTTGTTTTTCAATAAAACTATGACATTTGTTTATATAACATACATATTTTATAGCTTAGAGAATACATTAAAATGTAGCATTAATCTCTATCTTTTGTCCCTTAAATGGGCCTGATATATTGGACTGGGAAAAACATTATACTTTCTGATATGGGCTGTTTTATTCATTACTTTTCCACCTAGTAGCTAGGATATGCAAGATAGAAACTTAGGCAACATATACTATGGTGATTTATTGATTTGTAAATAGGAGTTAATTTCCAATGGAAAGATGATGTGCTAGAGGCAGAAATATTTTAAATGCTAAGCTGTAACACAGTATGTAGTTTTCACTTTATAATTAATTTGCACATGATTGCTGTTAGAAGTTTCACAAGCTTTTGCAGAGGCAAGGAAGAGGTCTTTTATCACTGAAAGATATAGTTACTAAGGATATCTTCAAAATTACATCTACATCTTTTAAATAGAAGTTCGGATGATTTATTGATTTGTAAATAGGAGTTAATTTCCAATGGAAAGATGATATGCTAGAGGCAGAAATATTTTAAATGCTAAGCTGTAACATAGTATGTAGTTTTCACTTTATAATTAATTTGCACATGATTGCTGTTAGAAGTTTCACAAGCTTTTGTAGAGGCAAGGAAGAGGTCTTTTATCACTGAAAGATATAGTTACTAAGGACATCTTCAAAATTACATCTGAATTTTTTAAATAGAAGTTCAGTTGGGTTACAATGATCACAGTTTCATCCGTACAGCTGTGCTATTGTTTAAACAGAAGGCTGGTTCATCTTCACTGTGGAAATGAATTAGCTTCAAAACTAATGGCAAAGATTTGAATTTTGATCTCTGTTGAAACCCAGAGCGTTTTTGTTGCCAAATTTTATGAGAATGAAACAAAATAGTGCATTGTGTTAAGGCTGGCATTAGTCTTAACTAAATTAACTAGATTAACTAAAACTAGAAATCTAAATCTCTGTGGAAAATTCTCAGTCATATAGGTTATAGTTCTCTCAAAGGTACTTTTTTTCTTTTTCAAAAGGTAACTGCACTGTTTTTTCCTTGAGGAAGAAGAAAATGTTTCACTTCTCATCCCAGAAGTTTCATCAGTTCAGATGGTGGTGGGATGGAAGGATAGGTTCTGATAGAATGGAAGCGGGGTGGGGTGGGGAATGGAAAGATAGTATTACTTTGCAGCCATCTGGTCGTTAGCACTCTCTCTAAGAGCTATTGAGGCCACTTGGAGGTTTAGTTGTGTTTTCAGGGTCACCTGAATCACAACCGCAACCAATTACACCCTGGGAGGTCTAATGATTTTTTTCTGTAATGTAAAATGCTAACTGAAACAAGTAACAGAGTAAAACCAAAAATATTCAAATATAACAGCATGTTTTTTTGTATTATTAATAAATCGTCTCATTCCTAAAGGCCAATCTGGATAAGATCTTTGATTTTTTTTCTTCCATTCATTCAATCATATTCAATTCTTGAAGACTGCCTGGACAAGTTCCTGCATTTTTCTTTGCGAGATTTTTTTCAGGAGTGGTTTGCCACTGCTTCTTTCCTAGGACTGAGACAAAAACATTGGTTCAGGTTTACCCAGCTAGCTTCATGTCTAAAGTGTGACTAAGATCTCATGGTTCACTAAGTTCCTAGCTTGTTGCCTTAACTGCTACATCAGACTGGCTTTCCCGGGATATTGTTTTAGGATAAAACAAGTAGTAGAAGTAGAAGAAATAATTACCTATATGTTTAAGAACCCAGTGTTTGTATCATTAATGTGTAAAATTGTCTAAACATGTTTTTTTTAAAGTATTTAGGTCAATTTGATAAGTGCCAAATTTTAATTACTTTTAGATAATATAAGAGAATTGTATAAAAATGTTTATAACAAAAAATCATAAACAGATTTGCATTTGCAAAGAATGCGTAAAATGTATATCTTATTCATAGCACAATAGAAATGTTAATTCCTTAATGAGAATCTGATCTCACTTAAATTTGGAACCTGCTGCAAAACTCAGTTAACATTATACTTTATTTGTAGGATGAGCTAACTGCTGTAAATGTAAAACAAGGTTTCAGTAATCAGCCACCTTTCTCAGGAGATGAACATGGGTCTGCTAGAAATATTGTTATTAACCCATCAAAGGTATGTGTTTTTTTTGTAACGAAAAAGTGCTTCCTCTTAAGAATTTCTAATTTTGTATGCTGTTTTACAATACCTTCTTTATTGATTTGGTAATGTGTGTCTTCATTTTTTAAAAACTTTTTAATCTGTGTAACTTGAAAATTATGAATACATAGGTGAATGCATGCAGGGTCAAAGATGTGGATTTCCTAATGCTGAAATTCCCAATATTCCGATCAAGTATCTACTGTTACAAATGATTTTAATTGATATTTGAAAGAAGGAAAATGTCACAGATTTTAAATTTAACATTTGCCTTTTCTGGACAGGTTTTTTAAACTGCAAATATGCTTTAATAATAAGATTATTTTTATTATAGCCTAAGGGGTATTTTAATGTTGAGTATCAATAACTTTTATATCCATAATATCTATACTTGAACAATAATGGGAGATCATTTTAGCTTATCACGTTTTTGACCACTACAATAAAGAATTTAGAGGCTAATTTTATCAAGGTACTAGTTAAAGGACACTTGATCTCTTTAATCCAGGACATTGTATATATTTAAGTTTTAGAAAATGCTTATTCTGTTTTCGTTTTCTTCTCTTATCAGATTGGTGCTTATTTTAGCAGCATATTAGCAGAGAAATTAAAACTTAATACATTCCAGGATATAGGAAAGAAGAAATTGCAAATAAATGCTAAAGACAATTACTGGCTAGTTACTGCTCGGTCCCAGAGTGCAATTCATACGTGGTTTGCGGATTTGGCAGGAAATAAACCTCTGACTTTCCTAGCAAAAAAGGTACTTGGATGACGTCTTCGCTATTTGGGAGAGAGGGAGGATTTCACGTGATTCTGATCTGAATCTAAAGTGCAATATTAACAAAATAAACAAGATGAAGGCAGCTTCCTGCAAAAGAAATTACGAGAGTTCCTGTTCCATTTTTACCGCTAATGATCTGTATTGCTTTTTTTTCATCTCCCTTTCTTAAATTTTCTATTGCAGGGGTCTCCTACCTTGGCAACTTTAAGACTTGTGGACTTCAACTCTCAGAATTCTGGGAGTTGAAGTCCACAGGTCTTAAAAGTTGCCAAGGTTGGAGACTCCTGTTCTTTCTTATGACTGACCTGATGCTGAGCCTACTGAAAAGCATGCCAACCTAAATGATCTCTGAGGATTCATGCAAGTTTCTACAGCTGTTTGTGCAATGTATTACTTATGATCTTCTTGGTGGACGAAACAATGTTGTTCCTATTGCTATTGTGCAGCAGTAATGAGGCCAGTGAATGGTACCTTAATAACTCCTTGCAAGTGATTTAAGGAAAGGGATTGGTGGATTTTTCTCCCCCATTTCCCTTGTCAGTGGAAAAACAACCACCAATCATTTTTGGTCATCTGAGATAGTGCTGAGTATTGTCAGTTTGGGTAGATGCTTAAAATGTTAAGTTTAGTTACTGGTCAAGCTGAGTAAGGGAGTTATGAGGTGGAGCAGGAGAGAACAAATGACTGATAACAAATGAATACTATCTCTAGCTAATGCTAAAAATGCTGGCAAGAAGTGACCTCCAGCAGCAGATAGAGGTAGCTAATCAATGGCCATGGAGAATATGTGTATTAGAGCAGACTTCTGGATTTTCAGAATTATGATTGGCTTGTACATAATAGCAACAATAACTGCTATGGCCCTGTTATTGTCTATGTTGGAATGCAGTGGACAAAATGACACCTTGTTCTCCAGTGAGTTGTAAGTAACAATGATATATTGCACAAATAGATATTGAAACTTCTACAAGTCGTCAGAGACAATAAAAAGAGTAAAAACTGCTAAAAATTTATATCTGCGTGAAACTCCTGGTTGGGACCTGTGAAAAAGTTATGTTAGAATCTTGTCTTTCACTAAACTTTTAAGTGCTGACTTTAGCATGAAACAATATAAGCAAGTTAGCCCTTAAAGTTGTGAACATATTGTGTGTAAACTTCTAGACTCCTATTATTTTCAGTATTTTGAAAATAATAGGAGACCTAACGACGAGTGAAGGAAGCCGACTTTTCAATATTTCAGGAAACCTAATAAAATCTATTTCTTGAGGGGTAGAAATGTTGGCCAATTTTAGATATTGTTAAGATCAAGCCTAAATTTCACCTAAGTGTGTTCACTAAGTGGACTAGTGGAACTTATCCCTTTTTCACAGGACTTAGATGTAACATTTTTGGGCTTGCACCTTTAAGATACATAGCATTTTAAGGATTGGCATTTATGGGAGCTGTTAATTACATTTAGATGTAAGAGCTGCCAATGTGACAGAATATATACGTTTACCATATTTTGCCTCAAACATTTTTCTGAAGCAGCGTATTATAGCTATTATGGCTGTTCAATATCCTTTGAAAAAAATGGGGAAATACTTTGATCAATGAATAAAATATTGATTTTGCTAGCAAGTGTATTTTAACTCGCTATTTAAAACCAAACAGCTTTTAATGGGAATAATACATAATTTCATTTGATCCAGATTAATTCAATATTATTTGAATCTATACATTATTTTTGACATACCAAAAAGCAACAGTTTGACTAATTTGACACTAACTTTTGCTTTCTCTAGTTACTCCTATTGTTATTTTTTTTCTACATGTCATTCAGTTATTACTACATCTACGTAGTTGAATTAAATTTTACAGTTTGTCATCTAACAGGTTTAGAGTTCTGTAGCCACCTTTTAAAATTCTTTCTTTGTCTTCAAATATAGGTCCCAATTCTCAGCAAAAAGGAAGACGTTTTTGCTTATTTAGCAAGATACTCTGTGCCACTCTTGCGAGCAGCATGGTTGATAAAAATGACTTGTGCCTACTACTCAGCCATCTCTGAAGCTAAAATCAAGAAACGCCAGGCAGCTGATCCAAATCTTGGTAATAAATACTGAATGTAACATCTTATTAATGCACATTTTTGCACTGTTGTGGAATTGTACTATTGTATGGAGGATATAAGTTGATAAGCTTCACTTTTTCCTGTATGCTTTATAAACTACAGTAGGTGTCAGTGCAGTTCAAAAAACCAAGAACCATAAGCTTGTTGTATCAGGAAATGACAAAATCAAGCCTCCATTTCTTTAGGTTCTCATTATTGATCAATGAAAATATATTTAAATTTTTAGTACAGCAAAAGAGCAGAATGAAAGCTGAAGCATAATTAATGACCTACAGAGAAAATGTATTAATTTGTTCTCTTCCTATCCTCAGTGTAAAAAATTGAGCAGATTCTAGACAAATAGGCTGTATCTATTAATGTTATTCGGTTTTTACAGCACGTACATTATTAACACCATGTTTTCAAAAATGGTAGTTCCATCACCTAACTAGAAATTTAGTCACTCTATATTCAATTTCCCAAATGGATCACTCCTTTTATTTAAATTATTGATATTGGTAGATAATACATACCCATCATGCTATTTCCTTTGGGATAAACATGATTTGGTGTGGAGGAAAGTAGTAAAAAATAAGTCAAATAAATTAAGAAAACAGGGTAAAAATGGAAAGAAATAAAGCTAATTTACATTATATCTCTCATACCTTTCTAGCAAAGTTTATAAAGATAATAGAATTTTCTATGCCTTTTTGCCTGTATTTTCAGTCAATTTGCATCCAGACATTTTCAGATTTTTCCACATTTGTTTAAATGCCAACATGATTCATTTAAGGGGACTTGTTTTCACTAGCTTTCCCCCTTCTAATCTTGAAAGCTCACCTCACAATAAAAGTGGATTCCAGATTACCATATTTTTCAGACTATAAGACGCATCGGTCTATAAGGTGCACTTTGGTTTAAAGGGGGAAAACAAGAAAACATTAGTTTTTTGCCTCTGTGCGTCCTGTTTTTGCCCTCTCTGGTGCCCAGAAGCATTCTGTAGGCCAAAAATGGGCCTGTTTTTGGCATCCCAAAGCCTCTGCATGTCCTGTTTTCAGCCTCCCCTGCATCCATAAGCGTACTGCAGCCAAAAAACACACCCATTTTTGGCCTCGATGCCAGGGAGGGCAAAAGTGGGACCCATGGAGGCCTCTGGAAGCCAAAAATGGGCCTGTATTCACTGTATAAGACGCACAGACATTTCCACCCACATTTTTAGGGGAAAAAGTATGTCTTATACTCTGAAAATATGGTATCTTTCACTTCTTATGCAAAGCATTTTCCTTTTTAAGGGTAATTTACAGAGTTTAAAATAAAAGATGTATATTTAAAAAAATCACACTGGTGTTGCTTTTAAATAAATATTCTGGTTGCTGCTGTTAGTTTAAAATGTTTATACCTTCATTTTTTTCACAAAGTAGATTCACTCTTGCATATTAAGCTGTTCTGTATTATTTGTGCATTTACTCAATAAGATGTGCTTAGTTGAGTTTCATAACAAACATGCATATGGCTAGAGCTTTCCTTACTTTAGTGCTGATGTGACAAGTTCAGGATGCCTAATTAAACCTGCCTCACACAATAATTCTTTTCAATTGCTTTTATGTTATAGATTTTTGTCTTCGTAGTTATCTATTGATGCCTCCAAGCAAATATAATTGCTTTGCAACATATGACTTGTTATATGTAAAATAGTTTTTCAACCTCATGCTTTCCTGATGTATTGAACTATAGCTCCTAAAACAACTGGAGAAGAGTAATGTAATGTAATTTCTTTCTTTCAAATTGGACTGTTTCTGGTGAACTGGTGAAATGGATAGCATTGCTGCTGTGTAATGCAGTAAGAAAACTGTCTTTACACTACATCAAGTTGTTTAAAACATGGGTTGTTGAACAAGCCATGGTGTTCCTTTTACCTGTAATATTATGACATCTGTCATACTAAACTGAAAAGAAGTCAAATTGTGCCTTAGGTTTTGTTAACTAAAGCTGAAAATCTTCGACTACTTACATTAGTGTCATCAGTCAATCAGCTATATCTGACCCTTGGCCACTCTACGGATAAGCTCTCTCCAGGCCCCTTTGTCTCATACTGCCTCCTTCAGATCCACCATTGTTATCCCAGTGTCATCTTTTATAGTGTCCACACCAGCAGGTACTAGGGCAGCCCTGTAACTCCTATTTCTACTGATCATTCCCATCATGGTTGACTTTTTGAGTGACTCAGCTCTCATGACATGGCCAAAGTATGTTTGGCAATCTTGGCTTCAAGTGATATTTTTGATGAGGTAAATAAATCAAATACTTACAGCACTAACTAAAATGTCAGCATACAATGTACTGTGGCATGTTTATTGATATAGCAAATAAAATGAATTATAGTTTTTTAATAGCTGTAACACTGCATTTCAGAGATCTTTTATTGACTGATCTGTAGAAGTAATAAGACTAATTTATTTTCTTGAATGCCCAGAGGCATCATTTTATATTTAGGATTGTTTCATATCTACTCTGTAATATGTTGATCTCAGTGAGCATCTCAAGGCATGGATTATGATAATAGAAAGGCTCACTCAGTGATCAGCTGGAAGTGGAGTTTTGCTATAAAGGTGATATGTTGGCAGTTTGATTTGAATATTTTTCCCTTTGGCATGTTCTGTCTGTAACATTAATACAGTACTTCACAAATCTTTGATAGTGATGGAGGATTCCATTCTGAAATATCTACTGGCATAATATTGAAATGATTATCCTACTTTATTTTTATAATATCTCTTGAAAGAATAAAGAAACTATGTATTATTGTATCTCTAAAGAAATGGAAATGTAAAACTTATCATTTTTACATATCATTTTTATGGAAAATAAAAATGATATGTAAAATGGAAAACAAACTTTTTTGGCTTGTAGAAATTGGAAGTAATTTAGTCACTAAGACATAACCAACAATAACTCCCAAAGTGATGCAGGTAGTCAAGAAACTCTAAAGGATTATTCCAAAATGCTACTTTTCATGTTATAGAAGAGGAAAATCAATAACTATATATCCAGAGACAAATATTTTAAGCATATTTAATTTCATTTAAATTATGCAAATAAAACAAATTTTGAGTTTTGTTTTGACTCTACCCATTAGTTTGAGAAGTATATCCCCCTCACTCAGATGTGTGATCCTCAGCTAATAAAAGCTATGCCAAAATAGTTCAAAAATGAACATTGTAAAGATCATTTATGAAGCATTTGACACTGTAGAAATTTTCAGCTTAGTTTCCATGTATTTTAATGAATAACATCTGCCTTTGAACTCTATGAAACAAAATCAATACTATGTATTTAAATGTAACTCCATGTTATTTTTAGATAAAAAGAATACCTCTGGTTTAATGTTTGGGGATTAAAACTGCATTTTGGAAAAGATTCAACATTCCTAAGCTGCATTCTCCTTTTATAGTGCATGATATGTAGGTGGAAGTTGATTTCAGAAATATAATAAGACAGACATGCAAATAAGGGAGATCAGGAGAATTAATTCTTTTATTGGATGGTAGCTATTATTGGAAGTGCATACTGTTGTCTTGAATAGCAAAATGGATTGTTCCACATTTCTTGTTGGGGAGGAACATGGACCAGTCCTGGAGTCTGGGGAAGGCTCTGACGAGTGTCTGCGTCAGAGGCAGAGATGTGGCTAGGGCCATGTGATAGTTATCAGCTGAGTTCGGAGTCAGGGATCAGTGGGGCAGAAGAACAGCTGGAGCCTTTTCCTAGTGTGCGCATGCGCAGACCTGCCAGGAGAAGGGAACAGTTAAGGAACAAGGGTCGACTCAGGAGTAAGAGCACATGTGGACGGTGAACGGTCCCTCCCATAGGGAATAAAGAGGAGAGAAAGGGGAGTGGTGTTTGCAGGAGACAATTAGTTTAGTTCATTAGGGTGAATATCTGTTCCTGACTTCTTGCCAAGTAATTTCTGCTACAGCGTGGCGTTTGGAAGATATCGGCCCAGCAACTTTCCAAGCCTGATAAAGGTCTGTAGTTGTGAAATTTCATGAAAGATTGTTTGTTAGGACTTTGCTGGAGAGGAATTCACTTTAACCTAAATAAAATGAATTATTGGGATGAGGAGTCTACTTCATGATCTTGGGAAGCCTAGGTCAGAACACTAGTGTTGCTGTCCTTTTCTGGAAACAGTAAACTGAGTTGCTCTCAAAAGCATAATTAGAATCCAGCAACAATAAATCCACTCACACCGTGGTAAGGCTTAACAGATCTGAATTACAAATTTCAGGAAAGATTATGACAGATAATCTGGGTCTTTCTGCTGCCATCCACTTTTGTAGCTCACATAATAGCCATAAGATGGTGGAAAGTGAATAGCTACAGAAACCTAAGAAAATCCAGAGGTCAACTTCTAAGCAACGGACAGTCAGGTATTATAGTTCTACAGCCTAATGGATCTTAAATGAAACTTCTAGTTTGCTGAATGTTTCTAAAGGCAAAATGACATTTGTTTCAATTTTGTATGCCTCTGCCTTAAAGCTCCATCCTTCAGGTCTACTCTGTGTTTAGGAGAAAAGATTGTTTCCTAAACAGACCTGAGTGAAGGAGACTATGTTCCTTGTAATTGAACAATTTCTCACTTTTCGATCCCTTAGTCATAGTTTTTGAGGCATCTGTCCCTGTTAGGACTTAGAATCTCTCCTTGGATTCAACTGTTGAAATGTTGCAAAAGATATTCCTGCTCTGAAGTCTCTAGTTCGTGTCAGAATCAGATAAGGACTCCCCCAGAGTAAGAGAAGAATTAATATTAATTTCAAAGGTAGTTACTTATTTTACATTAAGAGTCTCTTTATGTAAAGCCTATAGTCAATTCTGAATTTAATTTCATAAAGTGATACAAATTATTTTCAGTTGATGATTGGAAATGCTTGAACAATTTTTATTCTCGAATGAATTCTCAAACCTGATTCATATCAAACTACAATTTATTTCTACTTGCTCAAAGTACATAAACGTGATCCATGAAATCCATCCAAGACATTTGCATAACAAACTTCCTTTAGCAAACTACAGGTATTAACTTGCATTCTTTGAAAGCATTGTGGTAAAGACTGTCATGCTAAAAGCCATTCAAACTGGATCTCCCACTGATCACTATTTTGAGATTATGGGTTTGTAACAGCTCAGCTGAGTATAAATCAAATTGTGTTGAGTTTTTTTTGGCTCAGTTTTGTCACTGAAGAAAAACAAATGTCAACAATTACTTAATTTGTGTCTCTATAGAATGGACTCAAATCTCTACCAGGTACCTAAGAGAACAATTGGTAAAAATTGCAGAATTTTATCACATGACTACAAGCCAAGGCAAAAACTCTGTAGTTGTGCCTCGTGAAGTGGAACATGCTCTAAAGCAGTGGGAATATAATGAAAAGTTGGCATTTTATATGTTCCAGGTAACCTTTCTTTTTATAATGAAGCTGTCATGTTCTGTAGTTCAGGATGAAATTCTGTAAAGCAGTACAATGTGTACTGCTTTACAGCGGTAGCAACAACAGTAACATTACAGATTTGCATTTACTGTATGTCATTCATCATCTCATGCATTGATCAGAATCACTACCCTGACCACAAATTATTAATCTGCATATATTTATGTGTGCAGTTATAAGAAATGTCAGGCTATAGTGAAAAAGTGCATGTTAAACATATTCAATGAAGACTTATCAGTCAGTTAATTCAAAATTAAACAGTTGCAAAGAAACAGCTTACGAATTTACTGTAGTCCTCGCTTTATGACCATACATTCAGTGACTATTCAAACTTATGATACTGCTGAACAAATGATATTTATGACTTATCTTCAGAATTATGGCGATTGCAGTGCTCTCATGGTCAGTTGATTAGAATTCAGGTGCTTGGCAGCCCATCTGCATTTACATTCACAACTTGTGTATCAACTTCTACCCATCTCTGTCCAGTTGGTTGCCCTACACTCTGCTTCTCCTACCAGTCTGGCCTCTGCCATCCCTATGACCCTGCACTCCATTCTGCACCCTCACCCTCCTGCATCCTCTTGCCCTCACTGACTCATGAAAGGCCTTAGCAGCAGGAGAAGGAAGATGGTGAAGACAGCTGGGATGGTAGAGATGCAGGAACATTGGAGTGCAGGATAGTCAAAAGGCAGAGTTGGGTGGTAGATAGTTAGGTGGGAGGAATTTAAGTGGAGACAGACACAGCAGGACAGGAGAAGCATAAGATCCTCACCTAAAATGGCATGTTCCTGGCCAAGCAATTGCAACTGGGACCACCAAAACTGCTTTCACTAAGCAGTGTGGTCACATATTGTTTCATTTAAGAACTGCATCACTTAGCAGTAGAACTTCTGTTCCCAATTAGAGTTGTTAAGCAAGGACAAATGCTGTTAATTGATGTGTAATGGTATTAAAAACATCATAAATGTCAAAACTGCATCTTTAATGAAAAAAAAAAACTATACTAGTTGCAGAATAAATTAACCTTGTATACTTGGAAAAAGATGTACCTCTGTAGAATTATCCAATAATTCCTCCCATTCACATTCTTCCCCAGAAAACTATAGAGTTTATTTAGCATATATTTAGCATATATTCACCATATTTTGGATACACAATCTTTGCAAAGGAGAGAACAGTTAAAATATACTACAACTGGTAGTTCTACACAACAAACTGTAGTAGAAAGTTTCTATTCAGACTTTCAAACATTAAGTCTATTTCTTCTCCCTACATTTTTTCTGCCTCCTCTCCAAAGAGGAAGCATTCTGATCTATGAACATTGCATTTCACTGAAGTAAATCTTGGCTTGCTTTTCTGATTTTTGTTTGTGAATGGTAAGGTTTTGGCTACATAAGCACCATCACAGGAAGAATTGAATTGATACTGGAGGATGGTAATGATTCTGTGCTGTCATTTCAAATGTGTTGGTAACCAATAAGTGACTTTTAAACTCTTAATTTTAAATTTTAACATTGTTTTATAATATATTAAAATGTTCATATGGTTTATATGTCAGTTTTGTGACAATAAATTTTGTGGCATTTATTCTTAATTGGCATATTAAGCAATGAAGCAATGAAGTAATTGTTTTCTGTTGGATTTGAGAATTTCTTTACATATATTTCTAAAATTCCTTAAGGAAGGAATGCTTGAAAGACATGAATATTTAACATGGATCCTGGATGTCTTGGAAAAAATAAGACCAGCTGATGATGAACTTTTGAAACTCCTCCTACCACTAATGCTGCAGGTACAAAGGTTAATATAATTTGCCACAGTGCCAAAATACTCAGACAGATGTTTTCAGAATTCAGTATGTTAAACTAAGTGTAGCTTGTTTATAATTGGAATGTAAGGTTTGGTGTCAGATAAAAAATCAAATAACATGTATAAAGAAAGAATGGCTTCCAACTTACAGTTTATCAGCTACAATATCTGCCTCCTGTCTGTAATTGACAGTTTTAAGGCTGTAATTGACAGTTTTAAGAAAATCTCAAGTCTCAAATTCCTAATATACATGGAAATATGTTGATTCTATACTAAGCTCATTCAGTTCTGGAGTTGTATCAGTACTAACTTTCACCTTAATAAGTCTTGGTACAGAGAACTCAGTAAAATTCATGCCAGCAAAAATTCACTTTCAATTCACATAGCTGCTAGACAGCTAGAGGCTTGACAGAGAGCTGGCAATGATCCCCAAATTGCGTCAATAGATCTTGTGAGATTTCAGGCAAGTGTGTGGAAAACGAGATTTTATGCAACTTGTGGCCCATTTAAAACATTGCTTACATATTCCTGTATAGAAAATCCTAAGAGTGACTGAAAAGATTCCAATCATGATTTTATATTATTTAACATTTTAAACATTATTTTAGAACTCACCCTATAATTTTTGTTTACATGCCACACTACTGATTCTGTTAGTATCTTGCTTTTTTTCTTCTGAGGGTTAAGATTTTCATCTACCCCTTATCGCTCACCAGATCTTTTTTCCCCTACACCAGACAAAATAGACAACACAGAGCCTGGCTATGGTGGGAATGATCTGGGGCAGAAGTTGGCTAAGAAATTATGTAAAAGGTGCTTGAGGTCCTGTGGCTGCCAACTCTGATTTAGGAAAGATGGGTTTAAAAAGTTGTAATTGAAAAAAAAATCTGGCAGACTTGATACACCAAACTTTTCCTAGTGTGAGAGAGACTAGTGTAAGATTTAGCTTTGGATGTTTGGGGATGCTAAAGAAAGCAATAGCAACTGTGTGGGGAGTTTTGATATACACTCTGATGATGACTTTTTTTTAAAAAAAATATCTTTCAGTATTCTGAAGAGTTTGTTCAGTCAGCCTACCTGTCGCGTCGCCTTGCTTACTTCTGTGCCAGACGTGTCTCTTCGTTGATAAGTGACAGTACTAACCTCATAGCTGCCCACTCGCCTCATATTATTATTGGACCAAATAATCCTCCTTTGGCAGCTTCCAGCTCTTCAACAACTGGTACTGTAGTGAATCCTGCCCAGCTTGCCTGTTCAGATTTTCTTTCCTGCCCCCAGCACCGCCCTCTTGTCTATGGCCTGAGCTGTATGCTGCAGGTAAGTGCATAGCAGAGAGGAAATTATGAAATAACATTTATTGGCTGTGTTACTGTTGAAAAAGTACTGCATTGTGGATCTGTTTCTTTCTCCCTCCTTCCCTCCCTCTCCTCATGGAAAGCAATTGTGTATGCATTAAAAATATCTCAGATAAATTTGAAATTTAGTTAGGAAGAGATTGGAATTAAATAGGATCTTTCCTGAGAAATATTTGAGTGACTATTCATTACTTTCTGAGATATTTTCTAGAAAGGTCATTTTTTTCCTGACTGTGTAGAATAATCAAATAGCTATAAAATTGGAGTACAAGGTTTAGGATTGTGCTCATTCACACTGACTTTTTCTAACGTATATGAAGATAATAGTACTAAGCATCTACTTTTGTTTGTTCATTTACTTCACAAAAATCTCGAGTAAAAGTGGTCTACAGAAACAAATAGAAGCTCTAGTTTTTTGGGATGTGTGTGTGAAATAATGATTTTCTTTTTATTCTTTTTATTTTATTTTTTAAATCCATTCTGATGGTTTGCTTCAGTTTGACAATTCAGAGCAGCAATGTTTAACTTTTAAAAGTAGCTTTTATGCAGTTGTTTTATGAACTGAAATATGTTATGCGTATTATTTTTTGAATTGCAATGATATTAAACCAGTCTATTTTTTAATGAACATAATGAAATAGATATAAGGACATTTTGAACAAATTGTGTGCACTTTTTTTAAAAAAAACAAAACCCTTTTTTGTAAAAGTTTTTTTTGCTGCTTTCTATAAAATTGAATAATCTAATTACATCATTTAAATTCTTCTATTTTCTACTTCAGACTATAACTCTCTGTTGCCCAAGTGCCTTGGTCTGGAATTATTCTACAAATGAAAGTAAAAACATAAATCCTGGCTCACCTTTGGATTTACTTCAAGTTTCTCCATCCAGCTTACCAATGCCAGGAGGAAATTCTGTATTCAATCAGCAGGTAGTTTTTATTTGTATTTCAAAATATGAACAATCCATTCTGCTGAAAAATTCCATATTTCTGTCTTTCAAAAATGTCATTTTACAGCTAGTGGCTGTCTCTCCAATCATGCATCACCTTTTCCTGCTTCTTCATTGCAGAATTCATATATTTATATGTAAAGAGGGGGTAGGAGGTTTCTTCATGGAATGTAAAAAGTTAGAAAAAAAGAGTGTGATAAATGTGTTAGAAATGAATTTTCTGACAATGTTGGAATATTCATATAAAAGAATACACCATATAAACTTGTTTAACTTTCAAGTCTGTGAAAGTACCATTTCACCAACGTTGTACATACATCCTGAGTCTCAAATGCAATGAAATGGCTTTGATTGGTCATATGTTGGCCAATGTTCCATACAAGTTCTTTGCCCTTTTTAATATTGCCAAGAGTTGTAAAATAACATATAAGCCAAACCATTTGCAAGCGATATGGACCATCTTTAATATCAGTGCAGTTGTATTCCCCATTAAAGTGAATGTAAACATGTTTGAAGATATCGCCTTCTGTATTTTTTATTTATTGATTAAGGCAGTAGTCTAAACTCAAGCTATCCTGAAGCTGTTTCTGCAGTAGGGACTTTTGTTCATTCAATTTTAATGAAATAGCTCCATGACATCATCACCACCACCATCAAACTCTTGTTTTAATAGGTTTTAGGGAGACTGAAAAATTGAACGATATGCTAGATACCAGTACCTTATCATTTTTTTTTCTGTTGGAAGCATTTTAGCTGTTTTTTAAAAAAAATTAAATTTAACATTTAACTTGTTCTTTTTCAAATAGAAAAAAAACATTAAAAGAATTACTAACATAGTTTTGCATCAGATTATGAAGAAGGCCTGTCAATTAGCCAATATAAGTGACTTACATGTGGATCTCCTAATTTTAGCTCCTTAACATGAATTGTTTGAGGTCAGGTTCAGTAAGTGAGTGAGTGAACCCAAAGCTTCAGCAAGCTTCTTGTCTGAGCGAGGATTTAAACCTGGGTTACCTGCTCAGAGCTGAAAACAGTTACTATTTCACTGGCCCCCACATTAATGCTTACTTCCACATTAATAGTTAATTGTGCATTAATAGTTAGTTACACTGAGGTAAACATTTAGAGCTCACAGCCTACCTCAAAAGATGGCTATTTTGAGGGTAAATGAATGGATATCATACACGTCTCCTTGAACTCCCAGAGAATAGGCAGAATATAAATGTAATCAATGAATAATATTCATGTTCAAATATCCAAAATATGCAGCCTTTCAAGTCATACTGCTTTGATTTTTATTTTATGCTATTTTCAGAAATATTGTAATAATTGCACAATACTGTACATTTCAAAAGATTTAAACATTGAGCAGTTGTATGGAATATTGAGATGATTAGTCCGCTCTGTCTACATAAATAGTATCCTGTCCATAATTCTGAACAGAATTCAGGAACACATTCTTTCCCTGAACTGTTGAAAATAGATTTCCTTTGTTCCTTTACAGCAGAGGAGTAATGATTGGTTAACAAAGTGTGTTTTATTTTTCAAATGCTAACAAATTTCATTAAAACTTTCAGGAAGATGAATGTTAAGGTTTTTCAGATCAAAGGACTATTTTCTTGTAACTTACAAGAGTATATTGCTTTCCTGTTTTCCTGTGGTTCATCTGTACTTATTTATTTTTAAAATATATATCCTCATACTCTGGAAAAGCCAGCACTAGGTACCTAACATTTATGTGATATGTGATACATTATGCATGTATGTATTATACAATTGTTGCTTTCTTTACAGGTTCGTGCAAAGATTTTTGAAGTAGAACAGCAGATAAAACAAAGGGGCCGTGCTGTCGAAGTACGGTGGTCATTTGACAAGTGCCAAGAATCAACTGCAGGTAGACACTAAAATGGATTGTAAAAGCCATGAAGCTATAAGGACTTCATCCAGTGAAATTCATTGATTTTTAAAACTAAGTGATAGCTGCATTTTAGGTACCATTTATTGCTTTTCAGTCTTGGATTAAAGCCTTATTCTAAATATATTGGTATTGTCCACTTGAATGTAGAAGATGAACTAATATGGAATAAGTATGTGCAAAAAATATTTGTTGATACTTTTATGTCAGTTTTTAAAATTTCTCGAAAATGTTGTCATGGGTTTGAAACAACTCCACCTAAAGATGCTGAGTCGTTGGATACAAGATGGGAGGCAAATAAATTTTCTAATATATAAATAAAGATAAGCAGTGATTGCAATAGTTGAAATAATGTAGTTACTGTTATTACTATTATATACAGAACAAGGTGAAATCAACAGCTGCCAGTTCTTTAGCTTAACTTAGCCTTCATCCGCATCAAGTTCTTCCCAACTTGGGAACTTGAGAAGTTCTACACAGTGTGTGGTATAGTATATATATGGATCCAAACTATTTATAGTGAGATTTCCATGAATCACACACTACAATAGTCTAGATGCTGATTCCAACTATTCTAGCTCTGAATAATTAGAATCAATACTTAGTTTATTAGACTGTGTTATTTATTTGTGCAAAAATAATCATCATTATTATGATAAATCATCAACATAATCCAAATAATTTCTTTCCCATTCCTTGGCAACACATTGCCAAGAGGAAAATAACAGTGCTAATTTGTATGGTGCTTTTCAAGAGCTGCTCTTTGTCTGAGTTTGAAAGATAAGATGCCTCTGGTTAGAAACTGTTGGAGATCACAGGAAAACTATGGGATAGATTTGGCAGGTAAAAGAAAACATCTCAGGACAAGGCTATAGAAATACTTCTGTACTATTGCCAAAACTGCATGCGTGCGTGCACACCCACACACACATAGTCACATTTAGGAGTTGAGCTTCATTCAAGACCGTCTTTCTTTTTTTCTTCTTTTGTGGGGGGAGCTTGATGCTTAAAAGTGGTAATTTTTGCTTATGTGTGTGTTGAAAAATCAGTGAAAAAATGCCTGTCTTCCAAAAAGAAAAAAACCATCTGTAAACATCTGGCCTTCTATGTTTCAAAAAATTATGCTTATTGACTATTTTGCCATATTTTGGGATTCTTTTGGGAACACTATGACCAGGCTATTTTTGGAAGGATTGTTTTGATGTAAGTAAGAAGCTGCATGTACTTTTGTACCCCTGAGATCCCAAGAATCAAAATCTGTCCCTAAGGAGAAAAAGAGGAGAGAAGTCTGGGAACATATCAGTTTATCTTTCTTTTTCTTCCTTTGAAAAATTATGGTTTCCTCTGGTAAGCAGGCCAACTATTTGAAGGATTCATTTTGTTTTATTGTTCCATAGCTTTATTTATCCATTTTCTCAAGAGATTTTTGTTCCAAGTTTCACTGTCGAGCCTCATGATACAATAATTTGAAAAAACTGACATTTTATTTCATGTTTTAAATCTACAAAACTTTTCCATTTAAGCACATTCAAAGAAAATGTATTTTCCGCAATCAACTAAGTTTTTATCACTTAAACTGAATAGACACTCACACTCAAATATTTTTGTCATTAATGCCATTTAAAGTTTTATCAGTGTTTGTGCAAGAAGCTACTCAGTTAATGTTCTTAGCATTTTTAAGGTTTGTATGCTATAGCAACTTTCCCCAATATGGGACCAGTCAGGGATCTCAGACTCCAAATCCCATTATTTGGTCATGCTGATTGGGATGTATAGCTCAAGAGATCTGTTGGACACTGGTTAGAGAAATTTACCTTATAGATTTACTAAGTGCCTAATAAACAATAACAGCTTTATAGCTATCAACACATTTTAAAATCCTATAGCAGTTAATTAGGAGATTGAGAATTCTTAGGATAGAGGTAGGGCTTGTGGGAAAGAGGTTAGTGATAAGACAATTAAAAAGTACATTATGTGGAGTGGAGATCCGTAAAACAAAACACAGGGCAGCTCCCAATCAATACCAGTTTTCTTCCAACGAATTGTAATAATTTTGATGTCACAACTTGAATGTATCATCATTTTTTTTCTTTTCTGTTTTCCCTTTATCCAGGGGTTACTATCAGCCGTGTTTTGCACACTTTGGAGGTTTTGGATAGACACTGTTTTGATCGTTCAGATTCTAGCAACTCAATGGAAAGCCTTTATAACAAGATTTTCTGGGGAACTCATAATAAGGATAATCAGGAGGTATTTACATTGTTCATATTCATTTCCCCTAGTGTTTAGTCATTGTATTCTTCTTCAATATATTTGCTTCAAGACTGATTTTCAAATTGTGACTCTATGGACGTAATGTAGTCTTCAAAGCATCAATTAAAGTCTGAAGCAATTTTTTCAGTGCTGTGCCACTTCATTTATGTTATGTCTTGTGATTCCAACTTGCTGAGAAATTACATTTTTGATTTGACAATTGTGTACAGAAATGTCAAATAAGCAGCTGTGCATATAACAACACAATAAACGTGTAGTTACATTTTTCCAGAAATAATTTGATGCTAGATGCCCTCTCCCATTCCTCTGTATTCAAAATAAATTTTATTATGCTAATTCATTGCTGAAACCAAATATTTATGTAAACAACTGTACAAACCTTTTTTTATAACACTGCAGAGGAATATATTTTAATTTTCACATTCAGGTTAACACTAAAATTACAGGGTTGAATACTGAATTGAATACTTTCATTTTAGTATTTGGATTTGATTGTACTTATGTAGCATATTTTGGTGGAAGGACATTTTTGATTAGCTTTGATAAAAGCAAGGCTAACAGCAGCCTCTTTTCTTTTTATCCCAAGTACGTCCCATTGAGTTCAACAAGGCTTACTTCTGGTAGCTATAGGATGTGCTTCTGAGAAAACAAGTGGAGATTTGAAATACACATTCAAATATAGGATTTATCTTAACAAATATAATAAAGAAAGTGTTAATTTCTTCATATAGGTAACAGCATAATAGTTTGGAAAAAAATAAGTAAGATTAGAACTGGTTATTACTGTGGTTATATAGAACTGGTTATTACTGTGTGTGCCCTATTTCCCCAGAGATCTGTTGACCCCAATCCTATTTGCTTTTTGCAAGGCCTTAAATTCATAGGCATTTGGGTCAGATGAGCCCTCTTGGCTAGTTGTTTAGTCACTGCTTCAATAATTGTATTAGAATTATATTTTTTAACCCAAGGATATAGTGTCTTATATGTGTCTCTCTTGGTGTATTTGTGTTAATTTTTAAAAATCTTTTGTACTCTATCTATTGTAAAGTTACCTCATGAAATGGGCAGCTATTTCAGTGGTATGAATGTATGAATAAATAAATAATTAAATTAATTAATATTGGATGGGACACTTCCAAAAGTTCCTGAGGCTGAAAGCTAGACTGTGAAGTAAAACTTATAGTCCTCTGAAGATAAGCTCCACTCTTTACATTTATTTAGGAATGTTATTTGAATTTTTAAAATGTTCAACGTGAATTCAAAATGCTATTAATATTGATGCATGCTTATGGTTCAAAATTCTAACTTGTGTTATAACTTGATAACTGTTAAAAAAACAACAAAAAAGGATGTGTAAGTAGATATACCAAAATCCCATAGTATAATATTTACTACAGAGGTTCATTTAAACTTATTCAAGAATTGCAGTAATTAATGTTATCAAAGGCAAGGGGAAAAGAGCACTGTTTTATAGAACATGTAACCAGTAAATAGTTAGGCCACAACGTTTAGAAATCTCAGTTACTTTGATCATGTATATTTAGCTCAGTCTTGGCAAAATTGCATGTCAGTTGAAAGCTGTTCATACAGGTAATCCTCAATTTATGATCACAGTTGGGACTGGATTTTCAGCTGTGTCATGGTGGTTTTAAGTGAGTCACTACATGACTTCATTTGATTTTATGATTGTTTTTACGATAGCCACGTTGTTTACCAAATCCAGCATTTCCATAGAAATGACAAAAACTTCAGAAATCTTGATAAAATTAGCTTGCAACTGACAGAACAAATGCTATAACTGGGTATGTGCTGATGTTGGCTTCTGGTTGCAATTGGACAAATTGCCAATTCTAAGTTACAGAGGAATAATATTTTTCCATGATATATGTGAGAACCTTAATCTCATCTAAAAAATGCAGCATTTTTCTCTGTCTTTCATTATGTCAAATAAAATACTGATATTATATTTTGACCATAATGACCATTAAATCATGGTTCAGTTGATCATGGTTTATTGAATAAGTAAAATTAACGTATTATTTTGTATATACCTAAAATTTGAAAAAACATTGCATCTGAACCACTAGATGGCAGTTTATTTCTTTATCAAAAAAGAGCAAAAATGTTACAGTGTATCTTCTTTTAAACTGGATACCATATTAGAAAGACATGTGTATCTTTCAGGCTGTTCTTTTTCAAAATAGTTTTTGTGCTTTTTTCTTCCTAGAAACTTATTGATCATAATTTTTATTCAGTTTGAACATATAAATTTTGAGCCTCTTGTGCATATACAATAGTAAAATTATTTCATGTATACAATTTAAAAAGCAGTTTAATTATTTAGACTGAAACATTGATAAATTGCAGTGAAAGTCTTCAAAAACACCTGAATGACTAAATTCATTAAAAAATAAAAGCTAGTGTTAGCTGGTGTAAATTAAAAAGTGTCATTTGGTTGATGTGGGTAGCCATAGAAAAATGCATAGATAAATAAAAAGTTACCTTAGCAGTATGATTTTACTGCTATTTAGTGTTTCGTTTTCTGTATCATGGAGAAAATCTATCCATGGAGACAGGAAAAGTCAACACTGGGCACATAATCACACTTTTCGTAATGAAAATTGTGGTATCTTTATCTTTGTAAGTTTGTGTAAACAAAGGCTTTGAACATAAAGTTTGTGAACAAAAAATCATTGGATTATTTTAACTTGTTAAAAGTGAATTTTAACTTTATTAATTATATAACATTTTAAAAAATTATCCAGAATTCTTTAAGAACACATCAGGAAAAGCCAAGTATTTTGAGGTAATATTTATGAATTGGAGAATAAATATAAGTTGTGTCCTTTTTATTTCATGTTGTGGGAGAATAGTTTTTGGAAGCTTTTAGAAATAAAACTTTTGGGTAAAAAAAGAAAGGACAGAGGGAACTTACATTAACCTTTATTCCTTTCTCTGCCTGCTGAGTATTTACTCAGAACAAGCCTTTAAAGTTTTCCAGTAAAGTCCTTAATAAAAACATATCATTTAGCACTAAATTATCCATGGTTAGCAAAAGGTTCAGTTCAGTCAACATCACAGTTTCATTTAGCTTTTAAAAGCCATGTTTTTGTATTCTCTTATACTCTGCTACTACCCTTTGATGTTACTTTTCATCTCATTTTGTGGAGAAGATACCCACTTTCCTACTTAAAGTCTGTTTTCACAGACAATACTGTCTCCTGGTATTGGTTATCTTCCATTTGCCCCAAAACTACTTCTTTTGGAAAATCAGTTCTTAGAACTATATTTTGTTGTTAAGAAAGGAACTGATCAGAAACATTTGGCTACTTGCTTACTTTGCTTATTTTCCACTTACTTGCTGCAGTTTCTCTAGCTTTCATTATTCATGATGTGTAATATTAGTTCATGAAAGGATCTCCATATATTAAGCATAACTCAGCCTCAGCCAGAAGATTAATCTAACCCTCTTAAACAAGCTGAGTTGGAAGAAAGATTCACATCATACATCTTGTTGTCAGTAGCTGAAATTTTTAGAAAAGCTAACACAGACATTGAGTCAAAATGAAACATTTTCTTAAAAATAAATCCACCCTTTATTTTTGTCTATTTGGAGTGAAAAACTGAACTCTCACTCTTTTGGAAATGAATATGCTACCAGGAAAGCAGTTGGGCCTGCTCTAAAACCTTATTCCAGAAGATCTGTGCTAGAAGAATCTTCATTAACCATTTTCATAATCAGAAAAGGGCTAACTGAATAAGGAATAATTATGGTTTACTTATTCTCTTTCCACTACTGTACTCTTAAGAACTACAAATGAAATTTAATGAAAAAAATACATTCCATTAATATAGATCAAACAAATAGATGCGCAGATAGGGCAGGCCAAATTATATATGCCATTGTTTGCTCATTGAAATTCATTTGCAGGTTCTATCCCTGATACCATAGTTTCCTTGATACTTTCCTTGTTAAAGATATCCCTCCCATATCTGTAGAAAAGTTAGGTTAAAAATTGAAAGTATAATAATGGAAAATATTGATTAGAGTGGCAATTTTAATTCTGTATTAAGTTTACGTGAGACTAAATCATAGACAAAGATTGCTGCAAATTTCATTAACAAATAAATTTAATAAATAATATTAATAATTATTTCAACTACTCATAATATATAGGTACTGTATATCTGTAAAGTCTTGCTTTGGCTAATAATCTAAAAGACCATTTACACCAGGGATCTTCAAACCTGGCATCTTTAATACTTGTGGATTTCAACTCTCAGAATTCTAGGAGAATTCTATGGGTGCAGTATCAGCTATGGCTAATCTACAGTAAGCTAGTATTTCTGGTTTAACAGATAAAGTTGTCAGTTTATTGATGTATTAATGTGTTTTTCAGCTGCAAAGTTTTTTTTTCTTTTTTGCTTTAGTGGCTCTGTGGTGGGTGATACTTCAGTAAAAGGCCTCAACACAATCTTAATCTCTTCCTGTCATGGGTGGTAGGAGGTTTGCTGATAATATTTGGTTGGCATAGGAAAAATATATGCTTTGCTCCATAAAAGCATTGAGGTTATTTTACAGCAGAATATTATTTAGCATACTCTAAATGGAAAATTGGAAAATTGTCTACAAATCAGAAGACAGCATTACTAATATGCAGAACAAAATGAAGTTTGGGGAAAATTCAGAAATAAAAAGAGAATCCTATTAGCTGATTTTGCTGAAACTTGTATGAGAAATTTTGACTTAATATTAAAATTAACATTAAAATTACTATTTATTTTATTAACATTAAAATTACTAGAATTTTCAGTTGATTTCCTATTGTAAAGTTTGAACAGCAAAGGACAGTTTGTGGAGCTCAGAAGCAAAAAAAATAAATGCTGAGGATTATTGTTACATATGAAGCTGCAGCTTCTGAAATTTAGTCTTTGATGTTTGGATTGACCTTTGGATTCTTCTTTTGTTTTGTCAA